TGAAATGCAGTATCTTTTTTTGTGTGTGTATGTGGTGCTGAGAATTAAACCGGGGCCTTGCAAGGCAAGCACTGTACCAACTGAGCCATATCCCCAGCCCCGAAATGCAGTATCTCTGACAAGACAGTACTGCCTTCACAAGTTTGGATTTTCCTTGAAGAGAAGAATGCATATAGATTGGGGATGTGAAAAAGGAAAGAAACTTCCAAAGCAATGCCACAAAAAAGTCAAGGAAAAGAAGCAATTTAGTTTGAATTTCAGGGACCCACAACTCAAATTATATGGGGACAATTTAATTATTGTAATTCCATATAAATTGAAAGGTTATATTTTCCTTAATTAAAAGAAAAGTAGGGTGAAGAGACTTGTCACATTTATGTGCACTGTGTAATTGTAGTCTAGGGACAAAGATACCCATAGGGATGAACATTCTGATATCATACTCCTTCCAGATGGGACCACTGGTCCACACCATGATGCAAGCTCTCCTATTTAAGCCCCTCCATCTCTTTGTGTTTTGCAGCCTACATAATGTAGCACTGTCACAACTTCTACAAGCCTGCTGTTGGGCACTTAAGACTCAGGCTGTTCTGTCTCCAGGTCATTGATTTGTTTGCCTGTCCTTGTCTAGTTTAAAAGTCTATGAGACTGCTTACCCTTGTGCCAACAGGACATCACTCCAGGCCAGGCCACTGCACCTTTTCACTCTGAGTCTGTGGCTGCTCCCGCCTGCAGCGTCTCCTGCCTCCTGTTCCTCTCTGCTCTGCTTCTCTTCACAGCACGGAACGTCTTCAGGTTGGAAGGTCTGTGTTCTGCCTCTCATGCTCCCTGGTGCTTCATGCAAAGAAAAGCTAAACAATCACATTTACTAGTTTAAGATTCTTCTCTGAACAGCAGGTACTTGATCTTCAGATTCGGGTTATCAGACTTGAGGAAGCTACAGTATAAGGTAAGTAACTTTGAGAACTCCATATCCATCAATCACAGGCTGCTTTAATTATGAGACTCTGGACTTAGTGGAAAGTTTATTAAAACCAGGGAAACCCTGGGTAATACTGAGGTTGCCATGTTTCAGCATCCTAATTATAGATGTTGATGAATCAGTGTGACTCATAAATTCTACCTTCTGACCTCATTTCTTGTGTCAGCTGACATGAGGGTCTCACTTACATACTGTGTGCGTCAGAATGTTGATGATTTTCTGCTCAGGAAAATCCTTGGCAGATTTATGTCAATGTAAAGACTCAAGAGAGTTTTCATCTTTGGAACCAAGTGCTCAACTGTATGATTTTAAAATGTTTACAGGGAGAGGAGTTTGTCTGATTGTCTTCTCTCTTCCACTTCTTCAGGCCATTCATGTCTCTAAAGGTGGTTTAGTTACACAGCCCTCTGCATCAACTCCAGGGAAGTGTGGCCCCTCACTTCTATCTGGTACTCTGAGTGAGGGTGCTGGGGTGTGAGAGGCTTGCCAGACATCAGGAAGCTTATGAATGATGGGGCTGAATTTTTCTGACCCCCACTCTGTTTGAGGTTCATGATATTCCCAGGCCAAACTCCATGGGAAAGCAGATGTCCAGGATAGAAGACAGGGAAGACCTCAGCTCAGGGTTTCTTAAGACTTCACTGCAAAAGTGGCCATGCCTTTGCTCTGACTTCAGAAGGAAGGATGGTTCCTTGGCTTTGTTGAAATTCCTCCTCCATTCTAAAGATTCCCTGATGGCATTGTTTTATGTCTTTTATGGAACAAGTACAAGTGGACTTCGAATAGAAACACTGTTTGGGGAAACATCATGCCGAGGATTATGGGCTATGGGAGGGTCACTCTTCACCCTGCTTCCCAGGGGACAGCTGTCCTCACATCCTGTCTAGGCCAGCCTTCCTGAACTGTCACACGCCTTCTGAGTTAGCTGGTCACCAAGGATGTGTCAGTTCTTCAGAGAGAGCAGTTTTTTCACAGGAAAATGACTGCATACAAAAGGGAAAAGATAGACACCCAGCTCCCTGCTATTGGATCTGCTGTATTGCAGAGGAGAGCTGGGGACAGACGCCAGAAGGGGCTGCCACTGCTGGTGCTCTTTGCCTAAAATCAAATAAAGTCAAAATAAAAGCAATGGTTTGGGTAAAGAAGTTGCAACAAATATCACACTTAGAAGAATGCCTTTATTCTATAAAGAGAGCAGGCCAATTTTGAGAAATCCCTAAAAGGGCAAATGTCATGAGCAATTAAATCCCAATATATATATATAGAAAAATATACCAATGAAAACATTCCCAGGTTTCTTAGTCATAAACAAAAATCATATAAATKACYATMTAGATGCTCTTGCTAAAAGCTAGGCAAGCAGGGAGCCCCGAGTGTGCTCTGTGGTTGGCTGGCATCACTKGTCAGCAGCCCATCTAGCACTTTGGTGACAGGATTCTAAAGCCCAATAACCCACCTTCTACCACCTACCCAGAGAAGCAACCTCACGATACAGTGTTTCATAAGCAAACTGAGAAGCAATGTGCTTGTTAATCAAACAAGGAGCCCTCGAAAGAGCATGTCACATCAATCAACCATCACAGTAATCTGAGAAGACACCCCACATCTACAAAGAAAAGGGGCTTAACTACATATCAGATTGGAAGAATGCTAAGTTTAAGTTAGGCACAGGGGTGTGGTGCAGTGGTAGAGTGCTTGCATGTTCAATTCATAGCACCACCATAAATAATAAAATAATGGACTGGAATAGAGTAGAATATAGCATGAGTTATACATAGACATAACGATTTTTATACAAGGGCATGGATTATCCCAGGGGATTCCTTTCCCTTTTCTCGTTTCCCATATTCTCCTCAGTGCTATTATACTCCTTTATAATGGTTTAAACACAGGACACAGACAACACTGACAGAGAAGAACAAAGATGCTCTTAAAATCTAAGGAATTATGAGCCTCCAATCTCCCTTCCTTTGTGAGCAAGGCTGGGAAGTCTCCAAGGCCTCATTAGCAAGTTCAGCTCCAGGAAAGTTCGTGGTCAGGGCTGGGGACAGCACCCTGACAGGAAGGCACCTGTGCCCATTAGTGCTCTTGGGCTTTGACATTCACCATGGACCAATGGCAGTCTCTGTGCCTGGTCTCCACTGACCACCTGCCATTCCCTGGATCTGTAGTGCACTAATGATCACAGCTCTCCACGGGGCTTGCTCTCATTAAAATGCTGAAGGTCAGCACAACTCGCTGTCTCCCTCCATCACTTGGAATGCTGCTGAGTGCTTTTCCTTAATTTCCCCAGAGGCTTAAGACAGTGGAGAGAAAGAAGGCAAAATTAGAAAGGGCATACATCAGGAAAACAGCTGGAGAGGAGCTCTGCTGGGAACCAGCTATGTCTCAGGACAGGGGAAGATGGACAGAGCACAGGGAGCCAGGCTCCTGGGTCGAGGTGGGCTGAGGATTCACTCTTCATGTTTGACATCCATCCATGGTGGCTGTGGCCAACTGCCCAGGGGTCCTGACTGGACCTCTTGTGTGCAGCCCTGGGCTCCCGCTTGCATTGCTACCCTGCCCTGTCCTCTCCCTGTTCTGCCCTCTTCTTCTCTCTTGTGCACCAGCCAGAGAGAAGCCAAAACCCTGGAGATTCTGATCAAAGCCATTCTTGAAGGACATCCGGCCACACACACTGCAAGGGCAATTCCTGTCCCTTCTCTGTGCTCCTTGCAAGAAGGGACCAGGTCTTCACAGTCTTTTAGGTCCACTCAGAACCTAAAAGTTTGGCATGCCCAGGGTGAGGTACTAATGACTTAACTGGTTTAATGCATGTTTAATTCACGACACTCTCTGTCCACTCTGGCTCAGCAAAAAACAGCCTAGAGCAGTTAGACTTCCCTGGACCAGCAGAGCCTGTGCCCTGGGGAGTTTCTGACCCTCTTTAGGTCTCACCTTTTTTCTCTGTGGAGTGGGTAGAGAGTCCTTTAGTATTTCATGAGGTGTGGGGGGAATGTAACTTACTATTTATGGGTCACCAGACCTCTGCAATTACTGTGTAGTTACAGTACATCCTCAGTTTTAATGTTTCAGGAGCTCAACAGCTTCCTGGGACTCCTGGACACCAGGCTGCGCAATGTAGGTCTCTGTAATGTCAACATAAACTGTCCAAGTGACCCATAATGTTCATATTTGTGGTAAGATATTATTTAACTGAAATGGCTATGTGTGCATGATCTGACTTCAAATTTAAGAGCAAAGTAACTTGGGAGATAATAACTCCTGATACTATTTAAATCAGTTCATCCTTCTATTTTTCTATTAAAATGTTGTATCATAATCACTGCCTTTATTCACTTCACAGGTGAGTAAGTTATGTGCTAATAACCCATAGTTTTCTGCTGAAAGGGGAAGATAACAACCCTGATCCTCAACATTACTTCCCCCATTGACAGCCTTTCTCTGCTGACCTCTGGATTGTCCCTCACAGTGAGAGCTCTGTGTTCACACTTTAGCAGAGTCTTTGCCTTCCAACACTGAGCACCTGATAAACACGTCAAGCATCGAGTTTTACAGTGTGCAAACCTTCAAGAACCTGCAAACCAGGTGGATCCCACATGGTCGTCTCCCCATGGACAGCACACGTGCTCCTGACTTGTGGGGCTTTGACCCTGCAGTGTGAGGACCAAAGCCTGGCGCAGGGTAGGGCTGGGCTGGCCACTATTTTCACGTCCACTCTGCCCTGTCCAGCAGGACGGCTCCTCTCCAGGTAGGAAGTGCTTGAGAGACAGAGGACGAATGTCCTTAAACAAAAGCAGATGGGCTTGCTGCCTCAGAACCTCTAACTTAGCAAGGCCAGGCCTCTGGGCGGGCATCCTGCTCCTGAGTGGATGATGCTGTAATGGGACAAAACACCTGCCCAGCCTGTTCCAAGATTCGTGAGGTCAGAAACCTGAGCCTGGATCTGGGCGTGGCCACTCCATGATGCTCTAAGCCCACCTGTACTTCTCCAGCTTGAGTCCCACCCTCTGTGCAGCCTGCAGCGCTATGGAGTGGGGCAACAGCTCCCTGTACGCTGACTTCGTCCTCCTGGGGTTGTTCAGTGGCAGCCACTTCCCCTGGCTGCTCTTTTCCCTCATTCTCCTGGTCTTCGTGATCTCCATCGCCAGCAACACCACCATGATCCTGCTCATCCGCGCGGACCCCCGGCTGCACACCCCCATGTACTTCCTGCTCAGCCAGCTCTCCCTCATGGACATCCTGTAYATCTCCACCATCGTGCCCAAGATGCTGCTGGACCAGGCCACCAGCCAGAGGGCCATCTCCTTTGCAGGGTGCACTGCCCAGCACTTCCTCTACCTGACCTTGGCAGGGGCAGAGTTCTTCCTCCTAGGACTCATGTCCTACGACCGCTATGTGGCCATCTGCCACCCTCTGCGCTACCCTGTGCTGATGAGCCGCAAGGTCTGCCTGCTGATCGTGGTGGCCGCCTGGCTGGGAGGGTCTGCAGACGGTTTCCTGCTCACCCCAGTCACCATGCAGTTCCCCTTCTGTGCCTCTCGGGCAATCAACCACTTTTTCTGCGAGGTCCCCGCCCTTCTGAAGCTCTCCTGCAGGGACACCTCAGCCTATGAGACAGCCATGTATGTGTGCTGCATCCTGATGCTTCTCATCCCCTTCTCTGTCATCTCAGCCTCTTACACCAGGATTCTCATTGCTGTTTACAGGATGAGTGAGGCAGAGGGCAGGCGGAAGGCCGTAGCCACCTGCTCCTCTCACATGGTGGTGGTCAGCCTCTTCTACGGGGCCGCCATGTACACCTATGTGCTGCCCCACTCTTACCACACCCCTGAGCAGGACAAGGCAGTCTCTGCCTTCTACACCATCCTCACGCCCATGCTCAACCCGCTCATCTACAGCCTGAGGAACAAGGACGTCACAGGAGCCCTGCAGAGGGCTCTGGGGAAGTGTTTGGCCTCAAGAAAGGTAACCGCTTTCTAAAGATATTGCATTTGCTGTTAGAGCTTTGAAAATAAGAATAGAGGACCTCCTCATCACCTTTGAATTTGAGTATTCTCTGCCTGGAAACTTAAAGGTCACCCACATGCCAGCAATTGTGTGGAATTCCTGGTATTCGACCCGTTGGGGGTGGAGTGGGAAAACAGTGGAGGTTGCAGTAGCCCCCCCACCCACCTGCTTTTCACAATTGTGCGTTCTCCTGGACTCACAGGAGCTTGGTCCTGTCCACGCTCTGTCCTGGCAAAAGGGCTGCTGCTCCCCTGGCTTTCCAAAGAATCAACTTGTCAAATGCGGTTTTCATTTTATTACAAATATTATTTCAAYGTCAACTGATTTCTACAAGTGATTTTTTTTGTCACTTATAGAAACAGTTCCATAAAGACATCAGTGTTTGTTGGAAAAATTAGTTTTGACTGTATACAATAACTTTTCAGCTGAATTCTGTCAAAACAACTTGTAGACACAAAAGTACATGCCAAAATTTTGGAAGACACCAGCACCTGGAGATTTACCTCTATTTTTCCTACTATAGCGTTTCCCTCAAATCATCCTGGAACAATGGATTCAATGACTATAAAAGAGTGATAATGTGATGTTTGTGAATGTGGATGCTGCCCACATTTCCTGTCCCTCATTGCTGAGATCCTAAAGATATGATTTAATAAAACAAACTGGACAACCTTAAATCATATCTTTTCTTCCACATTTACATTTTATGAGGGCCTATGTGTTTTCTATTTGAGATCCTCATATGAAGTGATGAGCTCTTCTAAAAGTCACCCCTGGCTCCCCCTTGGAGGGTAATGCACACTGCTCACTCTTTTCTATTTCTGTTCTGGAGCTTAGTGCATCACACTCAGCCATGCTCATACTCCACCTTGTCCTGACCATGGCTCTTCGGGCACAGCGGGGAAACTTTTCTCTGTTTCTTGGTGTTCAACTTCCCTGGACTCATTCTATATAAGTCCTTCATCTTTCCATTTTCCAACTTCCATATTTTGACACAATTTTATATTTCATCATCTGTGAAGGAAATTATTTGTGTTACAGAGAACAAGATGTATCTGTAAGTGTCCACTTATTTAAATATATGCAGAAAAGTCAGCTGGGAGTTGACATGTTTCAGAAAATCAGGAGCTCTTGCACCTTGGATAAGAGAAGCAGAACCTGGCTGTGCAGCTTGGGTGTCATTTTTTATTTGTTTTGTGCTTCCAAAGAGGACAAGTGGGTGGAAGAGGACTTTGTTTCTCATTGCTAAGCATCTCTAAGTACCCTGTTTTCCTGCAACAACATCCAGGCTAAACTAGAAGTCGGAATTGACTTTCAGACTCCACCATGTGCTGGTTTCTAGGGCTCCTCGGCCCTGGCCCTATTCTCTTAACTCTGTTTCTCCCACCTTAATGTGAAGAGAATGATTTGGATCATGACCGSAAGTTTCAGACATGAGCAACTCTGCTTTCATCATAGAGAATGGCAGCTCCATGTCATAGACCTAATGAAGCTCCAATTAAAGGTATCGGTTGGACTAGTAAACTTCCTGAAGCCCTGTTTCTCATGATACTAAATAGCTCATTCTAACCAAATTCTTACCACAGAGTGAGAGTTTTGAGGGGAAATGAGTAACTGATGCAAAAACCATTTTGGCTCAGGAACAAAGCATTGTAATAACCCGTCACTCTACAGACAGCACGGAGAAACCAGCCCTCTGCCATACTCCAAAGTGCTCTTCCATCCTGACATACCGTCAGAGAAGAGTCCTGTCTGGCCACAGAGGTGATCAATGAGAACTTCTAACCCCAACGTAAGACCTTACATTAAACAGGCAGAGAATGTTTTAAGGACTAGTGTTGGTCGATTGGCCACCAAACTTGCCTGTGATAAAATAATAGTCATGGCCTCTCAYGTACAATGAGCAGTAGAGAAAGACAGGAGGTCCTTGGACCTCCCAACTTCAGGAGTTGAAGGAAACATACACTCCAATGGGAAGAAAACTTCTTCACAGGAGGAAAATACTAGACCAAGTCCATAGGGTTCAACTCCTTCCTTTTCAAGTGGTGAAGCAAGATTGGCCACATACTGCAGGCCTATCTTCTCACTCACGTCCACCATTTGTAACTTGGTTTTTGAGACAGTGTCAGTGCTCAAATAATATACATGGATGAAGAACTTGAAGATCAGATTCCTGCCCTCTGCACTATGAGGTGGCCTCCTGAAGCTGCTGAGCAGCAACTGCCATGTGGAGCTGACCAGTGCAGGGACCAGCCCTTCTGGGGTGACAGTGAAGAACAGGAAAATTACTGAAGAAAAGTTGTACATCATATGTTGAAAATCTTTCCTTTTACACAACTGAAAAACAAATTTATGAACTCTTTAGCAAAAGTGGTGACATAAAGAAGATCATTAAGGGTCTGTATAAAGTGAAGAAAAAACAGTATGTGGATTCTGTTTTGTGGAATATTATTCAAGAGCAGAGGCAAAAAAATGCCATGCAGTATGTAAATGTAACACGTCTGGATGACGGATCTTCGCACAGATTGGGATGCGGGCTGGAAGGAGGGCAGGCAGCGTGGACGTGGGCGATCAGGAGCAGGCTCCAAATGGTCCTGTGAACACAATGATGCTGGGAGAAGCGGCTATGGGGAACCGGCACAAAACAGTGAGTCGTGAGAGCCCCATTGGTGCCAGACTCCCCGCACTGCCTGTGAGTCTGCCAAAGAACATCCTCCCTGTCTGAACAATGTCTTCTCTACTGAGCTGGAAGCCTTTACCTGGTTTCCTCTGAAAATCACTAAAGGGCAGAAAACAAAAGAATGCTTTCATTCTAGTCTTAGGATTGGTCATGTGTCAAGTTACCAGATGATTTTCTGTTACTAGGTCTAAAATTGTGTTCTCTGGGGCTGGGGACATGACTCAGAGGTACAATGCCTGCTTCACGTGTGCAAGGCCCTGGTTCAATCCTAGAAACACCCCCCTACACAAACACACAAAGTGTTCCTTAGCAACAGGTTTGAGCTATAATGTTGATTATCCTGTCAGTCAAAACTGCCACACTTGGGGCTGGGATTGTGGCTCAGTGGTAGAGCGCTCGCCTAGCACGGGTAGGACTTGGGTTCGATCCTCTGCACCACATAAAGACATTGTGTTGTGTCCATCTACACCTAAAAAATAAATATTAAAAAAATGCCACACCTTTTAAATAAATATGGGAAAATTTGTTTTACCATGTTTGTCTTAAATAGGTTCATGATCTACTTTGGAGCATGGAATGATTATTTTTTAAAATTTAAGTTTGCATGAGATAATGTTTAATAAATGGAATTTTGCTATGTGGTATAGATTTGTTTTCAATTATCAACAGGTGTTTGACAACTGAATTTGTTTCTTATTTTAAATTCTAATCTGTAAAGAATCAATGGACCTTCCTAAATTTTAGTTGGACAGAAGTTATATAAACCTCAGATGGTCCCAGGGACATGTCTGCTTCCATTCCTTACATATCAGGAAACTGAATGCAGGATTTGAAGAGTTATGCACATTTTTCAAAAGATGTTTTAAATAAAGCCAACAAAAAAATAAAAAACTAAAAGCAAGGGTTTCTAATACAGAGAACTTCACATATCCTAGTGGGTGGGGGAAGACACTATTAGTAGGAAATGGAAGGAAATATCAGGAGTTAAGGAATTGCCTTGACATGATGAAGTTTGCTGTAAGGACCATCAGATTTGTTCTTTCTGTTTTAATTATAATCTTGGGAATAGAATGGATTCTTTTGAAAACAGCTTCATGATTGAGAGAATGCTTCACAAAAACAGAGGAAGGCTTCTTAAGGAAAGTGTCTATCTCAGCTACCTTTATTTTTCCCAAATTGTGCTTACTATGGTTCAAGCCAGGGGAGTCTATTTTGCACTTATAAGGCAAGAGGTGATTTCTGATATTATATGTGAGTTTAATTTTCCCTGATATGAAAAAAACACAGGTGAATTATTTTTTCAAAGTATTTTCCAGTAGTTTGTGAAGGTTGGAGCTGAATGTGGACACCTTCCACATTGTAATAAATGTGGGCTTTCTCATTAAATTCCAAACTGTTTGCTTGAATTTTTTAAAGAGCCATAATAGTTGTTAAGTGCAGAGGAAGAAACCATTTGCAGACATTTAATCAGGACACGTTATTCATTTTTAGAATCTGTTTTTACACTGTAGTTTGAACTAATACATTTTGTATTCTTGTGTGGGGATGTGGCTCAGTGGTACAGAGCCTTACAGGCCTTACAACCCAAGACTGTGACTCTTATTTGAATTGTGTCTTCTGTGACAGATTTCAATAAAGCTGGACCAACTTATAGGGAAAAAAACGACCAGATGCCCTGGGCCACAGCTTCTCTGCTCTGGCCCACCTGCCACCTCTGGGACAGCGAGAGCACACTGTGGCGAATCTCCATCAGTGAACTCCATTTCCCTAACTTCAACTGCTCTCTTTGTTTTGCATCTCTTTATTCTAGCTCTTCTCTTACATTCTTGACTCACTGCTTCTACCTTCTACCTCTCTTATTTTTCCTCCCCAGGTCAATGGGCAAAATCTGGTGACGTCCTATTGTGCTCTGTAGAGTGACATATCACACTGGAGGGGTCCATTCAAATCAGTCCAATGGGTAATCGAATAACTCTTTGAATCTACGGATGAAAATTAAAATATTCACTAGAAAAATTGGTTGTAGAATAGCATCCTATAGGATGGTGCTGCCATTGGTGTGCCCCTTGGCCCAGTGTCACATGATGAGAGAGGCAGTCCACCCCCCAAGGAAACCTCCATGTCATCTCTCATGTGTGACGTCAAATTTCCATATAAGTTCATTTGAAAATAAGAAACTATTTCCCATCTTACCTTGGCATTAGAGGGGCCTCTTCCTGCAGCAGGGCCCCAGGAGGCCAGGAGGACACAGAGTACCTGTCAACAAGCACATTGGTGGGGCTGCTCATGAATTCCTCAGGGAGTTGGCTCCTTGTGGACACAGGACCAGAGTGGACAGAGGAGTTTGCTTCACCAGCYTGGACTGAGCTGCTGCTGGGCCACCATCCTGGGCGGAAGAAGCCTGGAGAGGGAGGAGAGGACAGGAATGGGGCTCAGGTCCTCAGCTATGCAGCTGAAGGACATTCAGGTCAGCCTGAAATGTTGAGTCCACAGATGGCGCTGGCCTATGAGCAGTGCTTTCCTGGATGCTCATGGCTCCCATTCCTCCTGGTGGCCCATACAAAGTTCCTAGTCCAGGGTGGAATTGCTGCTGAGATTGAGAGTTTAAATTCAGATGCCAGTGTTCACTGGTGCCCCATAGAGCCTCCTGAGTCAGAGTGGGGCTTCAGGGAGGTCGTGGAGAGGGGCTCTCAGCACACCTGCAGATGGGGTGTGGGGACTGTGTTCCTGTTGATGAGCCAGTGCGGAGCCAGAAGAAGAGCAGAGGGCCTGAGCCCCTGGGTGCTGGTGCAGAGGGCCTTGGCTCAGAACAGCCTGGACCTAGGAGGGCAAGGCATCTCCACTGCTGGCCCAGGGTCAGCTCCATTTGTTCTTTCTGGCTTAGGGACACTACAGCTTCCTATTTATCCTTTACCTCTTGGTGTATTTCTTTACATCTTTGTCTTTCTTTACAAAGTGTCCAAAGCACCTGCATCCCAATATGCTATCAGTGACCTGGTTTTCCTCATTCAGAAACAAATAATCCACAACTTTCAGAGCCATAGAATACTTTTGATTGATGATATAGTTTCACCTTTTAACTGAAAGAAGACTGATGTCCACAGCCCAGGGGCCTGTCAACAGTTGACTGGAKAAAGAAAATGTGACCTGTGACACAATGGGGTTTTATTCAGCCATAAAGAATAAAATTATGGCATCTTCTGGTAAATGGATGGAATTGGAGAATATCACACTAAGTGAAATAAGTCAGACCCAGAAAGTCAAGGGTCAAATGTTTTCTCCCATGTGCAGAAGCTAGACCAAGTTAAAGGGAAAGGGGGGGGGCAGGGGAACCCCATGAAACAGAGGAGAGATCAGGGGAACAGTGGAAGGGGGTTGGTGGGGAGGGAGGGAGGGAAAGGGAGGAATGGTGGGATGAAAAGTAATGCTGTGTTCATATATGAGAAATGTGAATTCCACATTTGTATAGATCTGCAAAGCACCAGTATAAAAATAAATAAATAGAAGGAAGACCAGGAGAAGAGAGGAAGGGAAGCAGGGAGAGGAGAGAATGGAGGGAAAGAAGAAGTACTAGGGACTGACATGAGCAGATCCTATTTCACAGACATATACTAATGTCAAAACAAACCCCACTATCATGTAAGACTATAATACACTAATAAAAAATTAACACGAAGAGATATCTCCTATGTAAAAAAGAAAAACCATATCTGAGGACTAGAGAAGGACATCCATGCTGCCCTCCCTCGGGGGAGTCCCAGCCCCCAGCACAGCCACACAAACTGCTCCTGTCATCTGATTTCTGTGGCTGTGACATAGTTTATGGACATAACACATTCCCCTCTGCAGAGAGGCCCATGGTAGGCTCGCAGGAGTCTGCTCTCTGAGGACTTCTGCCCCAGGCTGCGTCTGTCCACCGGGCTGCACCCTGGGCATTGACAGTGGCTCCTGGAGTCTGTGGTCCACACCCTGCTGGGCACAGTAACTGAGCACAGGTGTGGGGCACCTGAGGGTTGGGTCCCTGGGAGTGGGAGTACCTTTTCCCTCTGCGGACTTTGCCGGAGCCCTGCTCTGAGGGAGGACAGCCTCCTGGACAACAGCCTGACTCACAGGACAATGGCCCTGCAGCTCTAGTGTTCCTGGACTCTTGGGAAGGTATTAGAAGGGACAAGCCCAGGCACCTCCCCCTGGTGGCATGTCCTTGGCCTTCACCTGGCCGTCTCCTCCACAAGCTGCTATGAGGGGCATCGACTGCCTGGGCTCCATGGTCAGGACCCGCAGACCCCCCCCATCTTGCAAGACCATCATTAAAGCGAAACTTCGCTTCTTGCTGCTCCTGTGTCTCTTAGCCCACCCTCTGGGCTTGCAGGTGAGCGTGCTTCTCACAGTGGGAACGTTTACTGGAGGCTATTTTGTATTTTAATTTAGCAATTAATGACAAGCAACAACAGGACTCCTGAGAAAGAGAGTCTCCTTATTAATAGTTTTCAGTCTTTTTTTATTATGGAATGCAATGAGCATGGGATGTGCGGGAACAAGGCTCATGCTTACTGACTACCAGATGCACACGATGGTCCATCCAGGAACAAAGGCACTTTTCAGAGCCCATGAGTCCCCTCCAGTCACCACACCGGCCATGGGCAGACATAAACCTCGACCTAAGTTTCATCAACTTTATCTTAAACTAATTTAAATACCAGAAAAGTGACAAACCAACAGAGGGGATTTCCACATAGCCCTCCCCTGTCCTGGTTCCTCCTCTGARGCATGGCCCACCATAAGCTGACACTCGCAGATGACCCTGAAGCTGTCCAGTAAAGCCACGTGCTTGGCAGCTGCCCCTTGGCAGCTCCTGGGTTGATAAGCCATTCTCTGACCACCTGAATAGGTCATCCTGTATTTGCATCTGCTCTCTGCTCTTCATAAGGCCTCTTGGAACCTGGCCACTGCAACCCTTTCTTAGCCTTCCTGTAGAGTGTGGTGTGTGGACGTGTATGTGTATAGTGTGACTAGAGTGTCAGACATGGTAACAACTGACATTCAAATAGAGTAGAAGAACCTGTGATGGCCACAATCACACCAAGTCAAATCAAAGTCACTGGTGGATTAAAGCTCATGAAATGGATGGAGTTGTGAACTTAACACTGAAAGCTCGGTCCTCGTCCCAGTGCTGATCCTTGCGGGGGAGAAGTTCTCTTGCCTTGCTGGTGAAGRAAGGAGGCCTCAGGCTGACGCTGCCCGAGGCTGCCCCCTAGCTGCTGTTTTCCAGGAACTGTCAGAGGGTGTACTCAGGGATGGTCCTCATCCGCAAGAGAGCAGTTGCCCATTTCCAGGTCTGCAGCTGGGCAGTAGGGTGGGCAGTGAGGGAAAGGACAGGCAGCTTGGCTCAGGACAGACAGAGGCTCACCTGCTCTCCCTGCAGCCATGAAGTGGGAGAGAGGAAACAGGAAGGGGCAATGTCCCCATGAGCAAGCAGCAAGGTTGACACTCAGACACAAAGTGGAGCCTGTCACACCCCTGGGCCAGCACTCCCAAGCCCTAGAGCCCACATTCTCCCAGTCCTAAGGCACGCTGGCCACACTGACCCTGAATGATCCATCACACCCAGTTGCTGGAGCTCTTTAGTACCAGGGATTGAACCCAGGGGCACTTAATAACCAAGCTATATCCCCAGCCCTTTTGATTTTTTTATTTTGAGACAGGGTCTTATTGAGTTGCTTAGGTCCTCAGTGAGTTGTGGAGGCTGGCTTTGAACCCACGATCTTCTTGCCTCAGCCTCACAAGCCACTGGGATTACAGACATGCACCACCATGCTCAGTTACACTTGCTCTTTTATTGTTGTTTTACTGTTTTGAAGTACTGGGGATTGAACATAGGGCCTCTCCCACGTGAAAAAAGGGATCCATTGTGGAGTTATATACCCATCCCCTCTTTATTTTCTCTTGAGAACTACAGGGAGAACAGCATTGGTCCAAGATGTCTGGAGAGCCACCTACACAGAGGTACCAGGACACTTGTTGAGACAGAGGCACAGGCAGTAGTGGCCGTGGCAGTACAACTGCTGGGTCTTCGGGAGCCAAGCCATCAGGTGCTGGGTTCCTAGATCTTATCACTGAACATGACACTTTTCCCTTCCCTATCCACAGGGATTTATGACGTTTTGGGTTTCCACTGATGCAAACTTGCAGGCTTCCCCAGTACTGTCTCCATCTGATCACTGCTAGTGCTCATGTGTGTGGCTAAGGTGAAGAGTTCAGAAGCCCAGCAACCCACACCGGAAGACACCACTTCAGCCTTCAATTAATGAGACTTATTTCTGTGTAGGTTAATACCCACTTGCAGTAAGTGATTTTTCTAAGGCCAGCAAGCCTTCTTCCATGAGACTTTGGCATGCTGACAAGCATTAGTGCTAAGGACAACTCACACACTGGTGAGGGGTTTTCTGCTGCATGAATGGTTGAGATACTCCTCCCAGATTTCACGAGGGGTTAATGCCTCATACATTACCTATCAGCACTTAGACCATCAGGCATCATGGATGTACCCCTCAACAGAAGGGTGCACACTACTGCTGTAAGGGGATCATCACACGAGAGACAAGCAAGGCCCTACTCTTGCCTGCTCCACGGTAACAACTGCGAGAAACTAGGTGACATACTTAGTTCTTCTCAAGGTGAGTATCCCCTTCTTTCTCAAACTTCACAAAGGACCATCCCTGAGTCTCTCCCAGGAGTATCCCAAGCAATTAGTGATGGTTCCCAAATTAAATGCAGAATCCACAGAGCTTTAGCCTGTCTCTTGTTAATCAGGACTGAAGCACTTGTTGGGTAGCTGTTCTTTTCACTGCCTTGAGGGAGGAAGGCATTCAGCGGGTAAAACCAGTGAACCATTATGTGTAGGGGATGTGAGTACTCATGTGAGGGGAGAAATGGCAACACCAGGTACAAATCAGTAACTGTGAGCTGACCAAAGCCAAACCCATCAAAAAGTGCAGGTGCTATGCAGGTGGGTTTCTCTGTACCATGGAACCAGTCACCAAGAGCAATTAGTAAAAGCTGAGCAGCTATTTTCATTCATATTCGCTCCATTCTGCTTATGCTGCAAAGGTTTCTAACAGCCTCCCATTCATACCACTAGCTGCAAATGAATTAGCACCCAGGGTGACTTTGACAAACACGTAACACCCCCACTGGACACATAAGAAAAATGAAAATGTATTATATACACACAGAGTTAAGCAGAGGAGGGCACAGGAAGCCATCCGGGCCCAGAGAGGGATTTGTCATTGGATGTAGAGAGAACAGTGGGCAAAAGGCAAAGCTTTGCAGTAACATCAAAGTGAGGTGCTCTTGGTTCCCTCAAAATATGTGGTTTCAAACAGGGCTGGTTAGAAGGAAATGGAAACACCTTATACTACATATCAATAAGAATTTAATACTATAATATGATGCTGTAAAATACTATGTACTATACTAATTACATAGTGCTTAATTACACTATCATATAAATTTTTATATGATATTTTATATTTTTATCATATAAAATAGTTTTATGTAATACACACTATTTACTTACAAAACTGTACTGTAACCTATATAGCATACACACACACAGGTATATGCACATATATATACTCCACGTATACATAATGCTATACTACATATCAGTGTACATAAATCTCTTTGCCAAGATACAAAAATTCTCAACAAAACAATAGAAAACAAACTATGAATAGATACTTACACTACAAGATGAAAGATTTAACCCAGAAAATCAATGAGTTTTCACACCTTAAGGTCAAGCTAATACACACATCTTCTGGGTGCATCATCCTGAACCTCTGAATGTCGCAGGGAAATGAAGGCATTCCCACTTTTAATGCACTTCTCGTCTTTCCCTCACTAATGACTTCTGTCATGTGTCTGAAAGGATCTAGAACAACTGAAGGTCTTGTGGCATTTCTTACGATGGTGTGGTTCTGGGAGGTCAGTGCTGTGGTGTGTGCTGTGATGTGGTTTGGGGAGGTATGTGATGTGGTTTTGGGAGATGTGTACTGTGGTGTGTGTCCCTAATGTCACTGAAGCATCCTCATGTCCCAGCCAGCACTGGCTTCCCAGCTGTTAGATGTGTTCCCTACCAGGCAGGAGAAAAAGCTTTCATATTAGGAGAGACTTAAGAGTGAAGCTCATGCCCACTGAGCCTGGCCTCAAGGCAGGTATACTAGTGTGACTTCCTGACATCTCTAGAGCTAGTGCACTGGGGTGACTGGATTCAAAGACCCTCTCCTTTAAAATCTCCAACCTAGGGTCTTTGAGGCCACTCAACTTCCCTCTGATCTTACATAAACTCCTAGGCTGCAGCAACTCTCCTGGGACCCCTCCCCCAGTGGGAGCCCTACACTCTCATATCTAATAAATCCCTTTACTTGGCTCTCACCCTTTGTGCCTGTGGATTTCATTTTTTGAATTCAGGAGACATCCAACACATCCTCAAGTCTCAAAGACGATGACATCAGGTGCCTGGGGAGTATAAAGGAAAAAGGCACAAGACTTTTTATAGTGCAATTCCAGGTTATTGTTCTCTGCTTTCCTCTTATGGAAAACATTCACCAACAGAAAACAAATCTTTTGAAAACTGTCATCAATCAGTGAAAAAAAAATGACAATTACAATACTGTGTCCCCTTGGATGCACCGTGGGGAACAAACAGTTCACAATGCTGTCAACTAAAAGGGAAATTGGAATCTTGAAATGCAGGGAGAAACTGGATTTTTAAAGATAGCCCTAGGAGAAGAGAGGATGGGGGACGGGAAAGTGGGTTTGTGATCCTGCTTCCTGTACATGTGAAATGATATGTGTTTGGAGGATGCACAGGTGACTCTTGGGGAGCAAAGAGGGCCCAGGACACTGCTGACCCCTGCGGCGGCGGCAGATTCCAGCCTCCACCTGACGCCCTCTCGCGCTCAGCGCCCGCTGGGGCGGGGAGCTGCGGGGGTTTCCCTGAGAGGCTCCTGGAGTCTCCAGCAGGGAGGGGACCCGACACCAGGCGCCACTGCCGCCTAGCGGGCCCAAGGCCACCCGCCAGCCGGGACTCGGCCGCACGCCCCGCAGCTCACCGCACGCCAGGTCCCCATGGCAGGCGCTGACCGGACCCCGCCAGCCGCACGCTCACCACTTTAGCCTCCAGGGTGACAGGTTGTCCTCCCCTAGAGGAGTCCCTCAAAGGGCTCCCAGGGCACTCAGGCTGCGCAGTCCTCCGGCGCCGGGCAGCCGAGGCGAGTCCGGGAGAGGGAGGAGCGGAGTGGGAGAGGACAGGCCCGCCTTCCGCCCCGCCTGCGCTCCTGATTGGACAATTCCACCCCAGCGCCCCCCAAGGACCGCCTCCGGGCACCGCCCCAGCCTTGAGTGACAGCTACTGTGACCCAATCGCTGGCTGACGTGGGCCAGAGTGATAGGTTCTTGGCCCAGCCCTTACCAGGGGGCGCTTCTCGCTGTTCTGGGAAGAGACCCGGTCAGACTTCGCATTTTACCTGGTCACGAAGGTGACTTCGAAGTACATACAACGTTGATACCATGCCGAAGCACACAGTGTGCCCACAAGTGTGTCTAAAATGTCACGATTCATGCTTTTCCTGTCTGCTGCTCTGCTGAGGAGACCCTGAGCTGCGAAAACGAAGACGGAGTCTGTCGGGCCTGGAGGGTGATCGCGGCGCCCAGCGCTCAGGCCGCGAGCAGGGGGCAGCAAGACGTCTCGCGCTCACTCCCCGCCCCCCCAGGAGAGRGGCCAGACTCCCAGGCCGGCTGTCCCCGAGTCCGCGACAGGGGACTCTGGCAGCTATCAGGCTTGGTGAGGGTTCGCGTGTCCAAGCAGAGAGGAGAGCTGGGGCTCCACAGCCAGCTTCTGTGTCCAAGAGAAGAAGATGTGACTGTCAGACACGAGGCCGCCAAGCAAAAGACTTTTGTTACAAGTGGAATCAAGTAAGGCCCAGCGAGGAGGAGAGAACGACCGGGAAACGTGACGCCACTTCCACATTTCTTACCCTACGATGCTTTCCAGGAGAAATGCGGGCCATCCTCTGCGGTCTTAGGCCACTAAGATGTGTAACCCTTCTTCACCTCCATGACGTCCTTCACCTCCATGACGTCCACGCCCTAGGTGGTCCTTTCACCTCCATGACGTCCTTCCCCTCCTTCCTCCACCTCCATGACGTCCACGCCCTAGTTGGTTCCTCCTGGAGCTGTCATGGTGCCCATCCCAATCTGGGAAATTCATCTACAAATCAGTCCTATGTTAATGTAGGTGCTGGGGTCRAAGACCAGGCAAACTGTACCTTAGTGTGCCTCCATGACTGAAGAAATGTCCCTTGGATGTATATTGAGGCATCTCTGGCCATAAGTCCTACCTGTACACTGATCCAGCTGACCCTGTCAGAAGTTAGCCCCATGGATCTCCACGAGTCTCTTAATGGGCCCCCTTTGTTTCCACATGTTTATTCCCAGGGCTGGCCCACCTGCTGTTTTCCTACAGTTACTGGGTTATTTATTAGAAGCCACAGGACCCTGCTACATTATTGGGTTGCATTCCTCTGCTCTTGATGAATTACTCACCAATACACAGGTGTGTGAGGACCAGGATGTCCTGCAGACTCTGCTGTCCTAGCAGGCACTTTTAGCAGCTCCTGCACTCACTGGGGTCTAGATGCCCTGCTTTGTTTTCACAGGTGCTGCTTTACCCTGTTGTAATTGTCTACTGACTAGGCCCCAAAGGCAAGGCCATCTCAGAACATGCTTTGTCCTAATAGCATTCAATGGAAATGAGTATCATTTATGTAATTCTAAATTTCCCAAAAGCCACATTTAACAATACTTTAAAGAACATGTGAATGGCCAGGAGTATAGCTTAGAGTATTCTCCTAGCAAGCATAATGCCCAGGGTTTAATCAGTAGCACAAAACCACAACAAAGCAACAAAACCCAAGTGAAATTGATGCAATGGGTAAAAGTATTATTGTTTTATATGTGATCCATATAATGAACAATATCCCTATATTTCACCTAGAAGTATAGGATACCACTAATTTTGATACTACTTTTTCAAATTTTACTCTCTTTTAGTCTTCTAGTTGCTCTCAGATCAAATCAGTTACATCCCATGTGCTCTGAAGCTCCACCTCCCTATGACGGAGTTTTGCTTTTGATTCCCCTGGTATGTGTGGATAAAAGGATCTAAACCATGTCCCACCATCTGCCACAAGTGAGGATCATCCCCTTCATGCCAGCCTCTCCTATGAGGCCCAAGATATAGAGAGTCCATGCCCCAGGAGACGGCAGGAAACTCAAAGCCTGAGGTCTCTGTTCTCACCTCTGCTTCCCAGCTGATGTCTGGTGGTCCATCTGGGCTGGCCTTATTTACCTGGCTCAGTAAAATGCCATGAACCAGCTTTGGGTCTGGACTCAAAAGACCCTAAATGCATCTTCCCTTTCCGAGTCCAGCTCCAACAGGGGGTCTCAGGAGACCTGGTGAGGAGTCAGCAAAAGGGGGGTGGAGAAACAACACAGACACCAAAGTGAGGGTGTTGATCCCAATCTTTACTTGTGAAGTTGATCATATATACTTTTCATTTTGGCAGGCTCACAGTACTTTGTGGTTACAAAACAGGAATCATTATTCAAAGAAACAAAATATTACGTAGCTACAATTAGAATAGAAGAATGTATCTTGGCTTATGCATAAGCAAGCATTTGTACTTTCAGTTTGAGTTTTGCTTTGAGCTGTTTCTGCTTAGTTAACTTTTAATAATAGTTASAAATGTCCCAAACTATTGGCCTATACCTTGACTATTCTTTCTTGACTTACTGACTGAACTGTTGCCATGGTTACAGCAAGTGGTTGACTTGTTATTAATTTTAATCAAACAAGAGTAAGAGCACAAACCATTGTTCACAGGAACAAGAACAAGTTGCCCAGTACTAAGCACTAATCTGTCTTCTTAACATTAATTTTTCTTCTCTAGATTTTAATTTAATTTCTCAAAAACTTCCTTGACAGGAATACAGGGAGTTTTTCATTAGACATTAACAATTTACGCTCCACAGCTGAATCATTGCATTTAGAGCAAACAGATCTATTCTTTAGAAGTAGTTGCATTAATTGGGAAAGTCATGTTTTTTCCTTCATACTTAATGGTCATATAGGAAATCACAACTATACTTATTAAAGGAATACAAAAACAAACCAGCCCATTCCCAGAAACATACTGTGCTCCTCCAGAGGATGGATGCCTTGCGCCATCCACCTCAGTAGGGCCTTGCCATTGCCTGAGTCAGGGGAGAGGCGCAGCACTTCCCCTCAGAACCCTGACAACTCCATCCCTCCCAAAGATGGAACAGCATAGAAATGGGGTCCCAGAATGATGGAACCTCACGTCTTCAGACCTGCCACTGCCTTGACCTCACAGTTTAGATATGGAGGACTACTAAAGAATACTAATTTTGCAACTTGGACTTGGCCCTAATCCTCAGGGTGTGGTTGTCTGTTTCCTCCCAAGCTGTGGACACTGAGTTTCAGCCTCAATGGTACATACACATGTCTACATGCATTTCTGTATAACTCACAATAAGCTAACAAGAAAACCAACCTTAAATAAGTGGAAAAGGCCATCAGTACATAGAGGATGTTTTCTAGGTTACTTGTAATTAACACACTGCTGAATCCTGGCATCTGATCTTCGGTGGTTATATGTATTAGCTACCACTAAACACACATACACATACACACACACACATGCTCATTATTGAGCTGGTTAGTATTTAAGCCAGGCTCAGGTGGGACATTTTTCTAGCCTCATCAAGATTCTTCAGGCAAATATTCTGCTGTCTGTCCAGGCAGCACTGCTTCTGAAGGGAGCTGGCTGTTGCCTGGGCTCCTTGGTACTTCTCCCCAAGATGTCTCCATCTCCAACAGGCTAACATGGACTTTGTTCTCAYGGAGCTGGCAGGGTTCTGAAGGAAAGGAAGATGCGTTCAGAGTCTTTTGAGCCTAGACCCAAAGCTGGTGTCCTGTTACTTTCATGGAATTTTATTGACCCCGATAAATAAGGCCAGCCCACATCCAAGGTTTGAAATAAAGATCCTCCCTCTGGGCGAAAGCAGCTATAAAAGCACATTGTCAAGGTTGGATGCTGGGAAGGATGAATAACAGCTCATGATTTTACATTCAGGGTCATATGCCTCTTTGAAGAAGAGCATTTCATAACTGTTCTCAGTCAAGGAATTGTCCAAAGCTCCACATCTACTGGGCAGATGGGCTGGTATCAAGATGAACTTCCCTGACTCCAAAGCCCAAACACCTCCACAGGACAACACAACTCATGCAACTTCCCCAGACCTGGAGGTTTGTCTAGCTGAGGTTCAGGCCCTGGACAAAAGGCTTGGGCTTCCAGCATTTGAAAGAAGATGCAAGGCCTAGTGGGATAGTTGTCATGCTTTATTCAGAGCAGACGGCAATACCTCCGCCCCACTTCTGCCCACTGGCACAGTGCCAACAGGTCCCACAAGTTTGGGCTTGCAAGCAGGTGCATATGAAAAGAATTTGCATACATGAAGAATACCTTGCACATCAGGGTGCATATGACCTTGACTACACACTAAAACCACACTCACTGAACAGCTCCATGAAGAAGCCTCGCCATAGCCATCTTAGACTCACCCCACAAGGTTCCAGGGAACATCCCTTCTGCCAAAGGAGAAAAGAATCCTGTCAGATTCTTGTCCACCTAGTGCTCTTCATTCCTGGGGAAGTCCCCCTCCAGAAAATGCTTAAAACTGTATTACAAATCCTGGAATGGTTTGGGGAAATGGCTGAGGCCCAGGTACAACAATATAGCTTTCATTTTCCATGACAGAAATAGAGTGCAAGGTACTCCTCCCATGTGCAAATTCTTTTAATTCCTCTTTGGTATTTGTAGGGTATTTATGATTCTCCCCTTGGAGTAAATAAAAACAATTGTGCCTGATTAAACCTGTTCCTCTGAAAGCAAGTGACATAAAGGTAGACCTGCTGAGAAGTCATTTCCCCTCACTGTGATTTAGTCAGTGAGACATGTGGAACTTATCTTTGATTTCAATAGGGCAAAGCTATTTCCTAAGACCATAAACTGAGATACCACATTGGGGGAAGGCCCACAGCACAGGTGGAAATCACATACAGCTAAACAGACACCTGCTGCTTCCCATGCATCAGACCTGACCGCCCATTATATTCAGGTTTCGAAGTCCTT